AATAGCTATATAAACGTCCGCTTGGCACACTTTCGATCATTTCACGATGTGCGGGAGTGGCAGCTGGAGAGCAATGAGGGAAGGAGGGGAGCAGGGTGAATATCGGTCGAGGAAATCCTCGACAGGGGGGTCGTACCTGTCGGGCTGGGTCATGGGGGGTCGTACTCTTGGGGGTCAGTAACAGCAGTGGTATCGTGGTGCAGATAGGTAAGAGGGTGTAGCGCAGCAGAAAATGAAATATCTGAAAAAAAAATATTCTTTGCAGGTTCAGTCGCTCCATTCCTCTACCTTCATGAGAAGGGCGTATTTGAAGGCAGTACAAAGAATGAAAGTGCATCCCGCAAAGAAGAGGCCACATGTGCACACGCGCTGCAAAGGCACCTCCTCTGCCTATCGCTCGCTCCTTCTCCCTTAATACCTCGCTGAGAATGACACTGTTGTTAGGGACCCTGTCGCAAAAACGACAACCGTGAAGGAAAAGCCCTGGGCAAATGAAGTGTTCCTCAGGTTGTAGGAGTTACGAAATGCGTTTACTACAATGCAGCTTCTGTCAACTGGTCATGATCATATAATCCTACTTACTATAAAGCGCTTTCGTCTGTCGTTCTGTCTGTCCCTCTGTCTGTCGTTCTGTATGTCTGTCACGAAATTCCCTAGCTCCTCGGGATCCGCCTGGAGGGACCGGGTCAAGTGTGGGATGGGTGGGCAGGGTCTCACGTAATACAAAACACACATCAGCTAAGCGGAGCCCCGCCCACAGAGGGCGTGGCGTGCGTCGAAATGAATTGTACCAAAGACCAAGATTTCGATTTCAGTGACAAAACGACCTCGAAACTGGGCCAAAAAGTGGGTAAGGTGTGCATTGGTAAGTCACATCGAATTAGGGAGACCCACCCCGGTGGGCGGGGCGTTCTCCAAAAAAGCAGTGCTTTATGAAAAATTTCATAACTCGGTTGGGAGAAAGCCTACAGAGCAGAAACAATTTGGTGTAAGGGAGCAATGTCTAAGGTGTTTCCTGCATACATGACGTGGGCGGAGGCCCGCCCAGAATGGGCGGGGCGCGCTCTGAAGTGTACAGCATTTTCTACAAGCCCTCATAATTCGGGTCGGGGAAGTCCTAAAGAGCCGGAAAGGTGGATAGAGGTGTATGGAGGAGTGGAGGCCAGCTATCAATGGTGGGCGGGGCTTGACCAAAGTGGGCGGAGTTTGCGACGAAAATTTATAACTCGGCTCCATGAAGCTCCGGAGGCTGGGGAAAAGGTGGAGGTGGTGGGTGGAGGAGTGGAGGTTAATTGTCATTGGTGGGCGGGGCCTGACCAAAGTGGGCGGAGTTTGCGACGAAAATTTATAACTCGGCTCCATGAAGCTCCGGAGGCTGGGGAAAAGGTGGATAGAGGTGGGTGGAGGAGTGGAGGTTAATTGTCATTGGTGGGCGGGGCCTGACCAAAGTGGGCGGAGTTTGCGACGAAAATTTATAACTCGGCTCCATGAAGCTCCGGAGGCTGGGGAAAAGGTGGATGGAGGTGGGTGGAGGAGTGGAGGCCAGCTGTCATCGGTGGGCGGAGCTTGACCAAAGTGGGTGGAGTTTGCGACGAAAATTCAGAACTCTGTTCCAGAAGGTCCCGGAGAGAGGGGAAAAAAGAAGATATAGTTGGGTGGGAAAGTGGAGGTCAAAGGCCAGTGGTAGGCGGGGCTTGGCCAAAGTGGGCGGAGTTTGCGACGAAAATTCATGACTTGGCTCCAAGAAGTCCCTGAGGCCGCGGAAAAGGTGGATGGAGGTGGGTGGAGGAGTGGAGGCCAGCTGTCAATGGTGGGCGGGGCATGACCAAAGTGGGCGGAGTTTGCGACGAAAATTCATAACTCGGCTCCAAGAAGTCCAGGAGGCTGGGAAAAAGGGAGTAGAGGTCGGCGAAGGAAAGGAGGTCAAATGCTATTAGTGGGTAGAGCACGCACCAAGTGGGCGGAGTTTGCCAAAAGTGTCGCAATTCGGTTCCAAGAGGTCCTAGAGATAGGGGAAAACGGGGTTAGAGGTTGGCGAGGGAAAAGAGGTCAACTGCTATCAGTGGGTAGAGCACGCACCTAAGTGGGCGGAGTTTGCCAAAAGTGTCGTAATTTGGTTCCAAGAGGTCCCAGAGACCGGTGAAAAAGGGGGTAGAGGTCGGCGAAAAGAAGGGAGCCAAATGCTATTGGTCGGCAGGGCACGCACCGAAGTAGACGGAGTTCGCCACGAGATTTATTGTCCGGGCCGAGGACCGAGAAAAATAGGATAATGGTTGACGAAGAAAGAGCGCATAGAATTTAGCGGAGAATTCAGATATTCGTATTGTATCAAGCCAAATTTGAAAATTTTCGTCGCACCATCAAAATTCGCCGCAGATCTGTGTTGCGCGCGCAATGCGTGCGGCGCCAACTGGTACCTTATATCGGTTCTGCAACTTCGAGTGAAGGTCGGATGCATGGCCTATACCCAGACAAAATCGGATGATGACGATTGCCCCTTTTCTTATTGCTTATGTTGGAAGAATGTATTCTAGACACATTTCGAGCGTTGCCAACGAATTACACTTGCAATGGTGAAGAAGGGAGCGGCTTTTTGAGCGGCCGAGAATCATCCTCGATAGATCCTCGACGCAAATATCTCTCAACTAGGAATGTAGAAGAAAGCTAAACAAGACCATCAGAAAGCGCAAACCTTCCGCTTTCCAAAACTATCTTCCCTTTTTCAGGATCTTACGAATTAGAGAGATATTGCTCTTGAAGTGGCAAAAACTCGCATGAAAATTTCAGCGTCCTCGACGTTTACTCGACGAAATTTGAGAGACCCTATCTTTCTGCATGGAAGGCTTTCAGAGCAATTTCAATACTTCTTGGAAACGCGAAATCCAGCTCTATCTAACCCTACCTCAAACTGCTTCAAAGGTTATGAAATGGAGGAATGCAACCTTTTCATCGAGGGTGTAGATTTCGACGGTTTTTTTTGGGATTTCAGCAAATCTGACCCAGTGACAATCGCGCCGCAGCTGCCGTTGAATCGGCCCTTTGATACACTCGGCTGTTTTGATATACTCAAGCAAGAATCAAGATTGAATCGCAACCCCGTGCCTTCAGGATTTCTGTGCATTTCTGAACGAACCTGACTTTGAGGTCACACAAAGTTAATGCCTCTTTCCTCGAGTCGATATTTCAGTAAATACACAAAAGTGTGCAGCGATGAAAGAAAGTGCATAGATGACAAGAGAAGGCGTTTATAACATTATTTGCAGGATTTTTTTGATTAATTAATTGAATTAATTTGCTCTGTTTTAGGGGGTCGTGCCAGGATCTCGATTTCGGGGGGGGGGTCGTACTTCTGCGACCACGTACTCGACACGATTTTCACCCTGGAGGGGAGGATAAGGTGAGAAGGAGGAACGCAAAGCTTATGCGAGGGAGACAGGTTCCGGCGGTTGCCGGCGGACCAGTCTGGGTGGACAATATAGAGGGATTTTAAACACAGTTTTCAAAAGGATCTCACGTGAGCATCGCGGCAAACATTTTCCCGAAATTCTTCACAGATGATTCGAACATCCTACTAACTATAAAG